TCTTTTCCTCTTTTTCCCTGCTGTTCCCTGATGTGCTCATGCAGGTGACTCGCGCGCGTGTCGGAGCCAGCCAGGAGCCCCGAGCGGTCGCCAATTAAACGTTCCGAGAGCCCAAGCCCTCGTTAGGGCCTGGGGGAAGGCGGGTTACCCGTGTCCCCGAACGGCGGCGGCGGCCAAAAAGATGAAGGTGGCGCGAAGCGGGAGGGGGGGCAGCGTCGCAAACGCAGCCCCGCGTCATTAACCTCCTCGAGGAGAAGCCTGTTTATCCTTCCCATAGGGTGTCGTCCCAGCTGTCCGGTTAGCGAGGGGGTAGGAAGACGTTTTATTTAGCGCTCACGTCGCTGTTGGATCACGCTCTGAAGTAGCGCGGGGTACACGGCACACACGTAGCCCGCTCCTCGGGGACTGTTCTCCGCGGGAGGGAAGGGGGGGAGCAGGGCGGAAAACTCTTGAGTAACTTTCTCTGAAAGCTGCTGCTGTGACTTCAGCGGCTGAGCGAGACGGTGGCCTGGGTTTTGTCATCGGGAAAGGTAGCTTTCACTAAGGCTTTAAGGGTTTTGTAACATACTTCCAACAGAGGATGTTTATTCGTCATCGGGGCTTTTTCCAGTTCCTAGTTTCTCCTCCCCTATTCCATTAAAAAATACATTAGAAAAAAAAATAATCCCTTTTTTATCTGCTGACGTAAAGAACTTTTGCATCCCATCACTTTTCTTTTTCCCCTCTTGGAAAGGTGTTGCGGGGTGTTGTGCCAAAACAACTACTGCACCACTGGATCGAGTAAAGATTTTGCTGCAAGCTCATAACCACCATTACAAACATCTAGGTAAGATGGCTGCTGCGTGTATAATTTTTGGTTTTAAATGCAGTGTGTATGGTTTGGGTATGTTGATATATTCAGTGATGTGGCCGATACAAAAAGGCGCTAAATCAGACAGAAGGGTCGCATCTGTCCGGTTGGTCTCTGTTCCACTTTTGTTAGTGTTTAAAAAGAAAAACAAAGCCTTGTGCGAGTAAGTTGTGGTATTGGTTGATGCGTTAGAGATTGAGATGTCAGAATAATCTCAATAAGGCATGTAAGAGCTAGGCTTGATCCTTCCCTTACTGAAGCCAGCAGCAGGTCGGTAATCACAGGTTCAACACTTGGATCATTTATGTAAAAACTGTCACCGCGGGTGGCTGCTGGGGTCTGCTACAGCGATTCCCAGTTCTCAGGGCTGTGGGAGTCGGTGCTTTTCAGAGCTTGGTAGTGTTCACCGGGGCCGGTGATCGCAAAACAGTGGCTGCTGAATCCTGCCAGACTCATGTGCGCTCACGCTTGCAGACGGCAGCGTGGCTGACGTGAATTGAAGATAGAGGTGGGTTTGTGCTTGGCATCGAGGTGCAGGTGATCTGTGTTCAGCATCTGTGTTGCATCATGGTGAGAGAATAAACTCGCAGTTGTTAGCGTGTTCAGAACCATTCTCTGTGGAGCTGTAACAGTGCCCTCTTGTGCATAGTATTTGAGGTATTTTATGTCATATGTTCTTGAAATATGTCATAACTTATGTTCCAAAATTTAAGCATGTTACAGTTGTCAAAAAAAAACAAACCCAAACTTTGAGTTGGTTAATTTTACATGTAATGAAACTTCAGAATTTTTAACTTACGACGCTCAAGATAATTTTTTTTAAAAGGCTGGAAAGATAAATCTTGAAACAAAATTAAATGGCTATATATATTCACTTCACTGTACCAAAAAGGGAAACACAAGTAACGTGGCGTTTTGATAACACAGTCACTTAAGTATGCACTTAAATCTGCACTCTAAGAATTGAAGGCTGAAGTAATTGTTTTGACCAATATTTTAAATCCTTGTTTGCTTTGTACAGTGCCATAACTGGCAAGTAAAATCTTACGTTCTTCCCTATTTTTAGGGTATTAGATACGATGCTGATTATTTGAAATGTGTTTGACTTGAATGCGTGCCTTTGTTGAATGTAGGCAAAAAAGAAAATCATGTGGATGAGATACCTCTAAGTGCAGAGACATGACGGATTAGTTCATCAAAGTCCTCACTAGATGTTTTTCCTGCCCTTGCTCTGTGGAGTTCATACCATGGGGATCTCAGAGCATGTGTTTTAAGAAAAAAGAACAGTAACTCATCATTGCAGGGTAGAGAGAAATTCTAATCACGGCCTAAGTATTTTCAGAGGCATGTAATAAGCGTGACATCTTAAAAATACATTCAATATTGTATTATTAGAACCCCAGAAACTAGGTAATACTTGTTTTATTTAAACTTTAAACGAACGTTTGTCAACTACTCTTTTTGTATGCTTGAAAGAAAGTGAGATAAATGTGTAAGCCTTTTTCATCTTCAGCTCTTATATTATTAAGTAGTTGCATATGAATGAAAACTGTTTAACTGTTATAGTTTATTCCTTTAAAAAAAAGAGTTAATTTAATAGCAATTGTGCGTAACTAATAATAAGTTTATAATGAAACGGTAGGTTTTGCCGAAACTTTGTGTGATCTTGCATTATTTCCCACCCATTAAAAGGGAATAGGATTGTTGCAACAGCTCTGGGACAGGCAGTGTGAGAAGTTGTAAGGAACGAGAGTCTTAAACTTTTAATTTCCTCACTGTTGGCATTTAATCTGTAATGCAATGCAGCATGTAGCACTATTAGATTGTTTTCCTCTGATTTTAGATTTTTAGGTACTTATTTAGGTACTTAGAATTGACTGAATTGCAAGTCAGCCGGTTCCCTTCCTTCTGTTGCTAGTATTAGCTTCTGTGGGTGGATAGGATCACCTGCAGTAGGATTGCCTGCAGTCCAGGCAAGTCATGGGGCCTGAGTGCATGAGTTCAGACGGAGGTCCACTGAGTCCGGGAGGTGAGAGCGCCGGTAGAATTTAACCTTAAACCTCCTCCTTCTGGCAACGTTCGGGCATTGAAACTGGATTTTCCACTCTCCATAGTTACGTGAGCAACATGATCCAGCCTTAGTTCTGTGCATACTTTCTTATTGTCAGTAATATCTGCTTGATTCCACACCCCCCCCAGTGTGATTGTTAAATACCTCTTTTTGTATTGCTGGCAGGAGTGTTTTCTACATTGTGTGCTGTCCCCAAAAAGGAAGGTTACCTTGGGCTGTATAAAGGAAACGGGGCAATGATGATTAGAATCTTTCCATATGGCGCAATTCAGTTTATGGCATTTGACCAATATAAAAAGGTAGTTGAATTTACTTTCTTTTCCTTCTCTGTTTTTTCTGCCTACAATGAATACAGATCCCTTAAGTGCTCAAAACTAACACTGAAACTTTTGTGTCTTATTAATTAGCTGCATGTCTTTTCTAAGGTTGCTTAATTTTATCTGAAGCTACCCATTAAAAATGTCAGGGCAACAGTGAAACTTCTTGCAGTGTTGCTGAAGGAAAATTCCCACCAATTTTTGTACCTTTGTATTGTTGAGAATAATACTTTTTTTTTTTTTAACGAAAGAAAAAGGTAATCTAACGTCTGCTGCTGTTTGCGTTGCTATAAGGTAGCCCTTCGTGAATAATATAGGAACAAAATGTAAAATGGAACCTCTTTATTATATTGTGTTTGGATTTTTAGGATGGATTGATGGATGGAATAACTTAAACTTGAAAGTCTGTCTAGATACAACTATAATATTTTACCTGAGAAATGACTATGTATGTCATGAAAGTATGCACAATGACCTGGAAGAGAAAACACTCATTTCAGGGTCCTGCAAGTTGTGTGGATTCCATTCTGCTCTGGTGCATTTACTCTCTCATAACAAATACCTAATAAATCCCTGCAACATCCTTTGGAGGTCAGGTATTAGCATGAACATGTTTTCAGACATTTCTTATATCCGGTGAAAAATACCATTTTACTGTTAACAATGAGGAATTCCATGTTTGAGAGGTCAGATTTAGCGCCCAGCGAAGTAAATTGCATGGTCTTTACTGAAGACAGAGAGATTGAAATTGTGATTCCCTTCCCTAAAGAGCAAATTTCAGAAGGCTGATACAAAGAAGTGTAATGAGTTTCATATGTTATTTTTTTTGTGGTGTAGTCATAAATGCTGTTGATCTATGATTGTTTTATGTTGTGTTGAATAAAAGACTGCATGCCATGCTTTGTAATGAAATGATTTATGAATCTGCAAATTTCAGGAAACCATTTAGCATCGTAGCAGTTTCTTTTATCTATTAATTAACAACAAACATTCAAGATATTTTGCAGGAATGTGTAAAGGGGAGAAAAAAATTTCTTAAAGAAGGAAGATAGGAAATGATGTTCTTGTTAGCAGAAACTGCTTCTTAAATGGTCTCAGTTCCTGGAAAGTAATTTCCAACTTCCTTCTGGGACATAGTATAACTTAGGAAGTTCTTGCTCTGAAATGCTTGTCTGCAAATGCTTGTCTTCTGATTTCTCTCTTCTCCTTTGTTTGTTTGTTTGTTTGTTTGTTTGTTTGTTTTTTAAATCCAGTTAAACAAAGTCTCAAAAATATCTTTACAGGGGTATGTTTCACATGCTGTGCATGGAAGAAAGATTTACTCTTCTCAAATGTGTCACTTTTCAACTTTGCTCAGTGTCCTTTGCTCTCTGTCACGCAACAAGGGTAGTATTCAGTTTGCCTTGTTTGACACACGTTAAAGATAACTAAATAAACAACTAATCTAGTTTCTGAAGTAAACAGTACAAATACTTTCAACTAATTGTTCTGCCTTGTTAGTAGAATTTTAGCACTTTCATGTTTTTAATAAGAAATTGGTAACAGGAGCAATGTTCAGCAAATTCTTTTAACAGTAATTAAGGGCTCTGGTTTGAATTTATAGTGTTGTAAACTTCTTGGAAACAGCTACAGAGTTTGCATTAATGTACTAATAAACTCTGTTATGTACCTCCTTGTATTTTCTGATATATGACTATTGCAAATGTTCTGTATTTTGTAGGTAATAAAGAAGCAACTTGGGATTTCAGGGCATGTGCATCGATTAATGGCTGGATCTATGGCAGGTATAGTTTTGTACTTGGATTTCAGACATCCCTTTTGCTGAAAAGTTAATATTTGTTTAGAGGATGATTTGATGCGTTTTCAGGTCAAACTGTTGCGAATTTGTATTAGGCAAAAATACTAGTAAATGGTTAATGTAACAAATAGTTGCCTAATTGAAAAGTGTTTGTCTAAGAGTATTTTGTAAAATACATTTGTTCAAGCATTGAATTCTGTGTTATGTTGTAAAGCACAGGTTTTATAGTGTTTGTTATGCTTTTAAAAAATGAAAAATCCCCTGTCATCAAGGTGAAGTATAAAGATGCAGGCTTTAGTAGAATTGGCTCATCAGCCTGTCTGCCACTGCTGCTAGGTTGACTATACGCCCATAGAAATAGAGAGAACTGCAGCTCCTTAAATGGGTGGATTCTTTGGATTTGCCAGAAATGTCTGTACTTTTCAACATCCAGTGCAGGATTGTCATGCTACTATTCAGTTTGTATGTGTGAACGTTAAAAAAACATCATTTATCAATTAGTGCAATAGCAGTAGAACAACCCATTTGTAAACTGCCAGTATGTATCATGATTATACATTTCTATTTGCCTCTTGTTAGTCATTCAGCCAAAAGCAGCTAAGAAAAAACAGGGAAAGGTAAGTAATAGCGGACTGATTTTTAATCCAGGTAGTTCTTCCTGTGCTTTTACGTTGTAAAACAGGCTTAATACTGTCTAGTGACAGTCCTTAAATAGTTATGACATAAGGATTAATATTTAGCTTCTTTTGGAATAAAAATTTCTGGGTTTGTAACTTTAACTTTAGTTAAAGTAGGAAGACCTCATGGAAGTATTTTGGCTTTGCATGCCATCAGAGGAAAAGGAAAGAGAATGAAATGAAATGATTCAAAGGCCCTAAAAACTAGCAAAACCCATTTGGCAAGATAGGTTCCAGAACTTGGCTGGCTTTCTATTTGAAAGAAGTGGAGAAAAAATACATAGTTTTTTTTTTTTTCTTTTTTTTCCTTCTCCCCCCACCCCTGGCTTTAACTATAGTAAAGAACACTTAAATTCCAACCCCCCTCCCAAAAAAAAAGCCCATTATTAGCTTTTTCAGGAGCCTTGTCAGAGACCTGGAACATGACTTGTGAGGCACTGTGGAAAACATTGAATAATCAGCTTAACTCTGTCAGTGTTGGACATGCTAGAATTCTCTGCATAGATAAATTGATAGCATCTGGCATCATTTTAAGCACCTTACAGGTTAAATCTGTTTAGTGTGGTTAACAGAAATAAAATTAATATACAGTACTATCTGGACACAGTGAACAAATGAAACTCTGTGCGTGGTGCATTTAAGTAGAACATATTCAACAGTCTGGTATTGAGAACCCCAAAACTGAGCAGATGACCTAGACTTAGGTGTGCAGTGAAATCAGTATAGCAGTCAGGTATAGTAATCGCATCACATATGAGTGTCTTACTATTTGTTTACTAGGTTGCATTAACTGCTTTTTGGGATATTCATTGGTAAATAAGAGGGGAGGGTTTATATTGTGTATGCTAAGAAGATATAGAGGAGGAAGGAGGCGCTAAGAAGAGCGTAGAGTTTGAAATCTGACATAAAGTTCTTCAGAGTTGCAAACAAAGTAAGACAAGGCTTTTAAAAGTAATTGGTGATATTTCTTGCTTTAACTCCTGTGGCTTAGTCTTTTTGCTGGCTCTAATAAGGGATGGTAAAGTTTAAATGACTAAAGGAGATGGTGTGCTGCATGCAACCCCAGTGTTGGTGGAGAGGGGTCTTCACAGTTTCCTGGAACCCAATATTATGTAGTTGAAAATGGATAACCCTTGCTTCCCTTTTCTTTTTGTCCCCTCTACACCATCTAGCTACACCGCTGTCTGCTTTCTGTGAATGCTACTGATACTTAAATCTTATGTCAGTGTTTCCAACATTACTAGCAGTCCACAGACCTGAATCAGCTTCAAAATGGTGGGAAACATTTCAGTATCTTCTGTAACTGATAAACAGGATCAAAAGCATATCCACAGGGGAAAACAAGGCAATGAGGGTGGGGGTAGTGGAGTGAGAGAAAAGAAAAACCTATTGTAATGCATATATTTAAGGGGGCCAAATTAAAGTTACTGTGGAAACTTTAACTCTGAATTTCCTGAGTCTTGTGTGATTCAAATTTCAGCTCTAACACCTCATTAACAGATAAATGGTGTATAACTTCTTTTAAGGAAAGACAGAGCTGGCGAGAAGATAGAGAAATCATAGAGGTTAGTGGGGTTTAGGAAACAAAATGATCAAATAACATCTGTATCACAGGATGTGTTTGCAAATCGCAATCTTTTTTTAGTTTTTGAATTGAAAAATCTGAATTAAAACACAGAAATGTGCATTTCCTCCCCTGCACTTGATTAACCTAAAAATAAAAAAAAGCCAGAAAAGACTAGATGTTATCTAGAATAAACTTAAGTTCCATGAAACTAATACAGAAAGCATGTTTCTGGTTTTTTATTTTTAGTAAGAGAGATTGGAAGATAGTTCTGATCTAGGAGGATGCTGACTGTCTCAATTTTAAATAGTGTGTAATTAACAGTTTCCTATTTGGAACATGTTAAAAGAATCTACTCTTTATTTCCTCAGGTGCAATTCAGAAAGAAACAGGATTATATATTGGAGGTCTAGAAATACTAGGACTTGTAAATTAGGCAGTGTCTGATAAATATTCTTTGTCATCAGCTATTTCTCTGTATGTATAGTTCCTAAAGCTTTGTTTTGTTCAGGTGATGCCTCCTTGATAAATTAATCTTTGTACTGGTTAAAGAGCGTATCTTATGCAGTTCAAGGCTGTGACTTGTGCTTATCACTTTGTGAACTGTATACCTCTGAATTACCTGGTAGTACTTAATTTGATTTACGTAGTTATTGATAAAGTACAAAGAGCATACATGATACAGAAATCATAAAAACTTGCCTATCGGATGTGTTTGCAGTACCTGATCTTTGTAAATGTATTTTACTTGTGTTTTGTTTTTTTTTTCCCCTCCAGATGTTTTTTTTATTTTTATTTGCAAAGAAAGAAAATTACTAAGAATGGAGGAACAGTAGGGAAACTGGGAGACAGATATAAATCCCTATGCAGCTAATCTCATTGTTAACTCCCAAAGCCTGGGAAGCAAATCAAGGACAGTCAGTCAATTCCTGTTGTGCTTCATTGAAGCTAAGTCTCAGTAAAGGTTTGTGTAACCCAGTATCTTGTCCCAAAGAGTGGTGAAAGGTGCTTGAGGGCAGTATGGTAAGTGAAGAATGGTCTTTCCTTGGCTGCCTTGCCTTCCGAGTCAGCATTTGCAATGAAAAAGTCTGCTGTTTTTGAAGTAGTTCCTTAAAGGAGGGAGGAGCTACATTGCCCTACTAGGATTATTTCCCATCAGACACTGGGAATTACAGTATGTGTTCTTAACTATTGAGATCCTTCCAACTCTGTCCTGTTTAACCAACTGTGGGAGAGATTTTTGGGTATACTCTCATTATTTGGGATAGATTTTGCTTCCTCGAGACAGCGTATCAGTCTTAAGATGCTGTGGTCTGACTTCTGATAACCCGTAATATTTAGGGACTAGAGATCAGTAATTTTGCAGACTTCACCACAATGACTTTGTGTCCCAAAGCTGGCTACCATTCCTCCCAGAAAGGATAGAGCCCCAAAGGAAATCTTGATCCCTTGTATGTACATTGTGCTTATATGAACAGTAAGCAGTAACATGTCTCTCCCGGTTGCTTCAGGAAAGTATATTTTGCGGCTGATGTTAGAAATCGCATTTTCTTTCAAAATTCATGGCTAGAAGAATTTAAGAAAAAGTGGGGGAAAAAAAAGATCGTCTTTAAATCCTTACTACATATCAATTCCATCTGTGTGTTTTTTTTTTTTAAACTGTACTATTTTTGGACAGTGTTCACTGGTTAGTGTATTCACCAAGCTCTTGGTCGGTGCGTTTGCTAGTTTTTGTTCAGACAGTACTCCTGGATACATATCAGTGCATGATTTGAAATAGAAGGGGGATAAAGTTGTCTGTTTTCTGAAGTGGCATGACTTTCTTGTAAACTCTTAAGCTCTGTAAAAGCCTTTTTTTTCCCCTATCTTTTTTTAAACTGCTTGAATTCATCCATTTTACAGTATTTCTGGACGTCTCAGGCAATCCCTCAGTAAAAGGCCATAGTCTGAGGGATTGCATTTAACAATGTAGGTCAGTGGAAACAGCCCTAAAGTTACTTGGTGTTTTGCAGCTTCCAACTTTTGAACCCTATGGGTGAGACAACATCAGAAATCAACTGCAGATGTCTGCTTTTTGTTTGGAGGATTCATCCGAAATCTCTCAAAGAGATGTTTTTGTCTTCTAAATTAAATTGCTGGTAGGATACTCCAGAAGGCCACAAACTGTACTCTCAATTGACAGTTGATCAGTGTCAGCTTTTTGGATAGGTCACGGTGTTCGTTTTTTATTTTATTACTTTTTCCTCCCCATCTAATCCTGATACCGTCTGTCAGATCATTCAGTTTACTAAAGTTGCTTTTGTTTCTCTGCAGACATAAAAGTTACGAAGAGTTTGTTTGCTGGAGTTGTGTTGTGTTCGGGTTTTCTTGTTGGTTTTGTTCCCCCCCACCCCCCTTGTGGTTTTCTTTTGACCTTGTGGAAAGGAGGGGGAAATGGTACACCTACAAAAAGAGATATCATTAAGACACTATTAAAACTTAAGAGGAAGTGGCAATTTCCTGCCAGCATAACAAGTGTGCTTATCTTCTGTAGGGCAATTTTTTAAGTGTGATGTGTAGCTAAATCAGAGCAGCTGCTAGAAAACAGTATCAATCACAAAGGTTTTTGCTTTCTTTTTCTCCTTTTCCCAGTATTTTTTTTTAAGTGATGGTGGTATACCACCAGAAAATGACTGGTTTTAGTAAAGAGTTTTAACTATTCCCTCCAAATAATTTGTCAGCAATTGAGTTGTTTACCTCAAAAACTAGCAGTAGGGGATAACTTATTATTCAGGTAACTGTTAGAGGAGTTGTTCTCTGTGCTGAAGTTCTGTTTCCAAAATTACAAGTTGGTCAGCATCTAATCAGTTTGAGGAAGTTTATAACTGGATGAATCCTAAGATTTGATTTTTTTTTTTTTTTTTTTGGCATCTTAAGTCTAGAAATAGCTGCTTTTTTTTTTGGTCAGAGTTTTAAAATGGAAGTGCTGGTGTAACATGAACTATTAAAATGCAGTAATGCAAAGCAGTTAAGTACTATTCATCTGTATGATCCTGACTTTATTTTAAATATCATTAGAATATATTTAGTATTTTCAGATGCAGTAGATACATGGATCTATATCGAGTAACCACAAAAAATTCTGACACAACCTTTTTGAAATTAGACATGTATATTTGGTGGTTTACCTTTTTTTTAAGATGTGATATTATTAGGTTTCATGGTTGCAATCCAGTAAAGCTGATGCACTTGACGAGCCTGATGCTTATGAGCCATGGGCTTAAATAGGATTGCTCCTGTGAATACAGTTAGGCCCATAAATCTTTGGAAAATCAAGGCCTAGGTGTGCAGCTTCAGTGAACACCAAGTATAAACAAAAATCCTTTGTGTGTTGCTGAAGTTTGTGTTCCTATTTGCTGATTATAAGTGACTTTAAGTGTTTCTTTAACAAAATAATTTGTATATGCTCTTATATTCACTGCCGCAAAAGGAAATTCTAATTTTCAAAATAATCCTAGATCAGATAAGGTGTAGGTGAGTTTTGTTTGCTTGTTTTGTTTTTGTTTTTAATAAAGGTATTACAGCAGTGATTTGTACTTACCCTCTTGATATGGTTAGAGTTCGTCTGGCGTTCCAAGTAAAAGGGGAACACAAGTACATGGGAATTATCCATGCATTCAAGATGATTTACACAAAGGTATTTTTTCTTTTAATCTTCAGTCCTGTCAAAGCAAAATATGCTCTCTAAAGAATATTGCACTGCATTGAAAATAGTGGCTTGGTAGAAAATAACATGACCTCATTGCGTGCACATTGAATTTTTTAATGTAAAAAATTATCTGGATGTTTCCATCTACTTAGGCTGCTAAGTTGTAGCTAAGACTCATGTAAGTGGGAGGTCAAAAACAGCACAGAGAAGTTGCTTTTCAAGAACAAATAGTAATGATACAAAAAAAAATTGGGGAGGAGGGATATGTATAATGCAGAAATGTCTCCTAGATCATGATGTTGGAAGTAGATTTTTTCCTCCTTCATTTTCGCTTCTTTATCTCCTATGGAGCCAGGCTGTTGTCCCCTCAATTCTTCAGGCACAAGAAGTGGAACTTGATGTTAGTTCCTTGGTGCTAGATGATGCTAGTCAGATTGATGTCTTGTGAATCTGTATGAACAGTCATATAACTTGTTAAGTCGTTTGTTGTACTTCTTGCCACAAATGTACTTGTATTTTTCTTTCTAAGGAAGGTGGTTTTAGTGGGTTCTACAGAGGGCTGATGCCAACTGTTGTAGGAATGGCGCCATATGCGGGTAAGTTAAAAACAGAACGTGGCGGTCCTTCGGCAGTTATGTGCACTACTAAATTTACATAATAAATTTGCACACCTAGTTAATTAGCTTCTCTTAAAATCAAGGATTCTGTTTTTTACTGAATGGAGAGGGGAGGCCAGTAGAAGCATTTGCAACTCCTCAAGCTTAATCTAGAATTGATCAATGTGTGTTAACGTATCTTCAATGGGTAAAGCCTAGCTTTTCTGAAACTTGGAGTTGAGAGGGAGAGAGGTAAGGTCGTGGTCCTTTCTCTTCTGCTTCCCAGTCTTCCCCACAGGAACGCACGTAGAGTGTTTCTCTCAGAGAGCGGAGCGCTCTATAGGTGGAGACTTAGATGTATTGGCTCCCTCTCCTGGTGACTTTTCTGTAAATACTTACACAAGCTAAAGCAGTCGGTGACGTGGGATGGAGGAACATCCGTGTAGTTTAGCTGGGCAGTTCTGATATTTAAAAGATGAGAGATGTTCTTCCGTTAGAAAGATCTTAGGAGTTACTCGTAACAGCAATCCAATAATTTGAAACCCACAGTCTAGTTTATTTAAATAATTCTTTTAATGTTGATTATAAACACTAATTCATTTGGACAGAAGTTACTTGTAGAAGTTAAAAACATTATTTGTCTCTTTCTGATTAAGAAAAACTTCTAAAAAGAATTGGAAAATAGTTTCATTTGGTAATTGCAGCTTTCTGTTTATGATGATGGTGCATCAACAAATAGTTTTCTTTTTTATGAAAATGCATAAAACTAAATTTCCTTTTAGGTTTTTCATTTTTTACCTTTGGTACCTTAAAGAGCATTGGACTTGCTCAAGCACCTAACTTGCTTGGACGACCTTCATTAGATAATCCCGATGTCTTAGTTTTGAAAACACATGTAAATCTGCTGTGTGGTGGCATAGCTGGAGCAATAGCTCAGACGATATCGTAAGTTTGGGTATTTTTTTTTCACCTATATAGCTGTTCATTCTAAAGAAGCTTTTATCTGAGAATTTTTTAATTTTATGTAAGTTTAGTTATTAGTAAGGTTTTTAAATCAGGTTAATCAGACACTGGAATTCCTTTATTTCCTATTGTTTCATCTGCTAACTATGTATTTAATCTTCAGGGTCTTTAAAGATCTATGCATTGAGTCAATTAAACAAATTTAGACAAATCTTCTAAAATCAGTTGGAATCTTGTTTGGTAAGCTATGAAGTTTTGACCGTGAACGTAGTTTGCAGAATTTTATTATTTCAGTTTACTTTCAGAACAATGTAACTTGTGAAGCTACAGAATTAAAAAAAAAAACAAACCCCAAAGTCTTAGATACTGTATTTGGCATTAATTTTTTTTATTACTTTGCCTGCTTTCTCCATTCTCATGCTGTCCTTGTCATATTTTGTTTTGTCCATAAAAAGAAATTAATTTAGTGGACTTACATGACATCAATTTTTCACTAAATCACTGCATTACAAATGTCATTTTCTATTAATCCTTAAACTGTTAATTTTATTTTCAATTCAGGTGTCTTCTCCCTCCAGCGTCTTACAGACTGTTTTATACTCTCATCTGATCTTCATGTGTCTTCCTTACTCGTGCCAAATGGAATATATTAAGAGATCTGATTTACTGGTTTTGGTTGTATAGGGGAAGTCTCCCTTTTTGGAGAGCTTTCAGCTGTGTTGAGAATCTGAGCCAGAGGGAGCTTGGAGGTTGCCCATGGACTTCTTTGTATTCTTTTTTTAAACAATATTCATATAGTCATCACACATCTGGTTGAACTGCTGTTCAAATATCTCCTCTGTAGATATCCTCTTGATGTAACTCGTAGGCGAATGCAGTTAGGAGCAGTTCTCCCAGACTCTGAAAAGTGCCTGTAAGTATTTTCTTTTCACCTGTAGTAACTGAATTCTTAGATGTCTGAGCAAAGTTAAATTCTTAGTTTTAAAGTTAAAAAAAACAACCAAACAAAACCCCAAACTACTATGTTGTTAATTTCTTAATTCTTTTAATGAATAAGTTTCCACACAGACAAAAGCTGCCATTATCCCTCTGGGGTTAAAAAAAATAACTGAAATCACAATGGCACTTTTATTAGTAATAGCGTGTTTGTATTAGTAACTTTTTTTTTTATTTAACTCAACTTACAATGTCTTTAATATCAGCAGGATCCCTAAGAGAGAGACTGCATGCTTCTACTGAAATGAAATGTTTCAAAGTGTTTTTTAATGGTGCAGAATCTGTTCCATAAGATGATTTTGCATAATACTGTTTTATTTGATGTTTCTTGCATTTGCGGTAATGTCCCACACCCCACACGTAGTTGGGGTTCCTCCAGTAGAAGTACCATATCCTTAAAATCATAGTATTAAATCAGCTTTCATCTTGAAAAGCTTCCTGCACTTCAAATTCCTTCAACCAAAATAAATTGCAGGATGGTTTTATCTTGGTTACTTTCAGTCTTGTGGAATTGTATATGTCTGAATCCAGCGCCATTCAGTGTGAACTTCCTGCGTGGCGAGTTGGATCTTACTAAAAAGTAGTCAGCTGTCTTAGTGACCTTTCATGAACAACCTAGATGTTACTTACTGTGAAAGTTGCTGCTCTGTTTTGCTTAGCAGCCTTAACGTTTGGGGTTTTTTTGCTTGGCTGTTTTCCATTCCAGATACTTTTAAAATAAAAATATGGTAATTGTTCTTAGGGTTTTACTTCATGCCTTTGTGAGAACTACAGGCGTTAGGCTTCCCAATTTAACAATATTGTTGTGAATGTGTTTGGAGAGATTTGTGCCATGAAGGAAAGTAGACATATATGTCTTTAGAGGATGAGAGGATAAAACAAGTAGGAAATCTTGAATCTTTGAAGCATACAGAAGATGTTCTCAGAGAGCAACGTCTTTAATAGCTTGGAAATACCGAGCACTTTACGGATTTTTACATTGCTTTGCATGTAATGTCCATTTGCTCAGGTTCAATATGAGTATGTGAGGAAAATCGTTCTCCTTGCATATATACTGCAAATTTTGCTTTTAATAAGGTGAAATATGATATACTTAGCATAAATGCTAGCATTTTTGTTTGAGAGAAAATACCAGGTGTTTGTTGTGGTGGAGGAAGCTACACACATGCAAGGTGTAGAATACAGAGCTAAACACAAATTTTATATGGAGAGCTTTAGAAGGACAGGTAGTAGGATTGAGTGCTCAAAGAAAGAGAATGGGATACAAACCGAAATACTGAACTGTAATGCAGGAAGTGTGTGCCACATTGGGCAAATTATGTTTCTGTTACGCTGTATTATGTTGTAAGAAGAACTGATGCTTCTCAACTCCTTCATGCCAGATAGGCAACAGAATATGCATAGCCATTCTGGTGTAAAATATGTCTTAATATGTCTTTTAGGGCAGCTGTTTAAGACAGAAACTTCTTTACGTGGGATTGCACTGTTCTCTTTCCAATTCCCAGCCCTTGCACCCAAATTTCTTGCTGAAGCTCAGACTGTCTCCTGAGTCCTAAAAAGACAATAATGCTTTGCTATGTGGAGTTCCATGGGTTTTTCTCCATAGCTCTCTTAAGAACAAAGTAAAACAATTGTCTTGTATGTAAAGAAAGTGATTTTGACTATTGAATATGTATATCCAATAATGATTTGAGTTCTTATTTTTCCAGTACGATGGTGCAGACACTGAAGTATGTGTATCAACAACATGGAATACGAAGAGGATTATATCGTGGTTTATCTCTAAATTATATTCGTTGTATTCCTTCCCAGGCTGTGGCTTTTACCACATATGAACTTATGAAACAGTTCTTGCACCTCAATTAATTTTTTTTTTTTTAGAAGACTTCCCTGTAAAACTATACTGTCAGTCCTTAAATTAAATTGGTGAGTAAATTACTTGAAGTTTAAAAAAAACCTATCTGTTACTGTGGAACTGCTGTGTCTGACATTTTTATTTGCCAAAATGTGGTTAATTTCCTGGAGTCAAACCAGGAGACAGATCAAAATAAACATTAGTTAGCTATAAACATTTTTTTGCACTTGATCTCCTAGGCTTGATTAGATTAATGTTAAGAATTACACAGTTTTAAAATTACACCCGCATTTTATACGGGTTTCAAGCTGTTAGTTATTTAGCCTTATCACCATTCCAGGAGTTACACACATGGTTATACTACATTTTAAGCTAGTAGTTAGACATCTGTTCTTCTTTAAAAATTAAATTGAATAAACTAATTTGAACAAAATGCAATGATTTTCACATTCAAATCCTTGCCAGCGCTGTAGAAGCTGAACTCAGCAGACCACAACTTAAGCATCTTTTCATGCTTTGTTTTGCACGCAAGAACAATGCATATGTCTTCAGACTGGTACATATGAAAGTCTCTTCAATCATTTCAAGGAAAAGTGACAAGATGATTATTAGAAATCTTGCAATTTGGAAATCAGTTTCTTGGCATACATACTATTCTAAACAATGCTGTATCTACACAAATAAAACCAGGGGGAACCTCTACAGTGACAAGTGCTAGAAAAGATCTCCATTAAGGCAGGTAGTATGGACCTGTACCTTTTCTGTGGAGTCAAGTGTTCTCAATGCAGTTTATTGAAGGCTGAGTGTTTTATGTACTTTCCAGTACTAGCTCATGTAAACAGGTTTGTCCCTACCTTAAAACATGGTGACAAACAAGACAACATGCTGCTGCATCTGCATTTACTTATTTAGGCATGTGGACCATATTCAACCTCTCATGCAAGAAAAGAAAGTGAAGATTGTATTGGCGTCGGTAGATGTGTACATGTACTGTTTCTGAAGTATGGTATGCAATAGACTATTACGTGTTTTCCTCCTCCCATAGTTCCTTTTGTAGAGGGAATTATTTTCCAGACTTGTTTATACATGATTTGCGTTGGTACTCTTGATTTTACTCACTTGATTCAGGAAACTGTAAAGCATTTACTTTAAATGATGTAAGTTATTTATTTATTGTAAATATTTTAGCAGTGTCTTTAAAGAATTGGTAATGGTTATGTTAAGTGGTGGATGGTAAGATTGATTTGCTTAATTTTGACAAATCTGGCAAACTGGATTTTGAGTTATATATTCAATACCAACAACTTACGTGGCTCAATTTTTTTTTTTCCAAGTTTCTTAAAAGTATGTATTTCTTTGATATTTAACAATGTAGCTATGGACAGAGAATGAGATGTATTCAAATTTATTTTATTAAAAATTTTGAACTGATGTTTTTGTGTGATTTGTATGTGTTACAGCCAGAAAGAATGCATGTTTCTGGAATTATCTGTATGTGTTTGCCCTTGTAGCTAAATCTGCATAACATTGTCATTCTTAATTAAGAGACAACAAATAAGATTTTTCATCTGACCTTTAGTTTCACTTAAAGGAAAACGAACAATATCACAGTGAATTTTTATCTTTTAAAGTCCTTGCAAGACAGCTAAATCCACTATATTTAAGGAAAAAAAAAACCAACAAAAAACCCCCACAAAAAACCAAAAGGGAGAGGTGTGCCATTTTTCTTTCCTCTGTTTTACTGTGTGAGTAAATAAGCATCTTCTTAGGTACCAGTTCTTTGCCATGTTAATACTTTTAAGGAGGCAAGGATGTTTAAATGTAGAGTTTTACATCTTTATTTTACTACAAGTGATACATATTTGAGGAACAAAAATAGCTTTGAACTGTGTTGTGAAAAGTTAAGCAGTTCTTATGCAGAATTAAAGCAGAATTCAGCATAATCAGTCTTGAGAGGAAGAGAGCAGTAAAAAGCGTCCCCTAAATAATTGAGTAGGATATTGAATGTGAAAAATAGACCTACTGGATGAAACTGCTGTATTTTCAAGATTAGTTTTTCAAAATAAAATTTAAAAGTGTATGAATAATTTTAGATTTGGAAGTACTTTAATACTTTCGAGCAAGGTCGATGAGGAAAATACTTTTGTCCAGGGGCTAGGTGGGAGGAGACTGGAATTCCTAATTTTTTTTTTTTTTTAGTAACCATTTCTAAGTCTTTCTGGAAAGCTTATTTAGGTGTTTCTTTTTAAGGTAGAACACAGAATCTATTTAGAATATCTGACTACCACAATGGAAATGTGGGACTTAATTGTAAATCCTCTTTCTTTCTCCAGTGACAGCCCTATGAAAACTGGGTTTATTTTCATTTTAAACTACTGAGGGATTTATTCCCTTGTCTTTTCTTGTCTGTCTCTTCAGTATTTTCAGTGTACTGAACAAGCCACATCTAATTTTAGGCAGTAAAAAGGACAAGATTAGGCTCCAGCCAAGTTCATTTCTATGCCTTAATCACACACTTTCTGATTTTTTTTCTGTTCACTTTTTGAGCAAAGGTAAGGGGTCTGAATAGCTGTTTGTGTCTTTATTTCCTAAAAACCCCTATTACAATGATCTTGTAACTAATAGTTCTATCCAGTGAAGTAATTATTTTTTGTGAAGAGCTGGTTATGTAGCCTTGGATAATATTTTTAAACTCTGGTAGACCCACCTATTTCCAATACTCTTTGATATAAAAGTAGAAGAGAAAGCCTTACCATTTTAGGCCTCCTTCAGGTGCGAGTGTCTTCTACAGACTTATCCATGATACAGCTTGAAACTCTCAGTTGTGGGGGCGGGGTGCGTGTTTGTGTTTGCAGCGATTAAACATTGTGTCCTTAAAATACACCCCATACTTCTCTCCACATTTTTACAATTGAAAATTTTGCCTGCTTTAACGAAGGCATTTATGTATTAACAATATTGCAGTTTGCAATCACTACAGAGAAAAGTTTAATGCATTTGAACCATTTTTTTACACCAATTAATTCCAGCATCTCTTTATTTATTTCATTACTAGCATTCTCCAGATGTTTTTGTTGCTCGTTTAAATGAGCTGAGACCTCAAGGTGGACCAATTCTGTCGACACTCTTCAAATTCCTCCCCCTTCTCTGAAAAAGGGACATGCAAAAGGCACTTGTTATAAGCCTTCTTTTATGTTTGCAACTTAAAACAACTATATTTGTTCAGTTCAAAAGGGTATGAAAGAAAAGATCTCTGTGCTTAACTGTGCTTTTATTCTGTGCAATCAGTGTGAGTAAGTCTGTTTAGCTCGGAGATCTCTGCTTCAGTGACGTGAGTGACAGGCTGTCCCTTGAGCATCCTCAGATGCTTCAGGCTGGTCTGAGTTTCCTCAGTACGCTTGCTCTCCTTTCCACTCTTGTTGAGAGGACCTGACCTGGTTGGTCTCCTGGCACACTGCTAGGATGGCTGCATCGTAAATCAGTTCAGGAAGCTGACTGCTTTCCTTGCAGCTAATTCATACTGTTTTATTCTGCTATTTAATGGCACCTCTGGGTGCTGTTTGACATTTTGCCTCAGCCAGGGTAGATGGACTAGATACCATGGTGCTTCCACTGATCTGATGAAAGGTTAACCCACCAAAAGAAATGAACGGGTTTTATTGGTTTCATCTTACTGAACCAGCTCACACTGTGGCTGCACACTTGCTAGATCGGATGCAAGGTAAATTTAATCTCAGATTCAGCTTTGGGAATTAACTTGCCACCTGGGGTGGCAGCAGACAAGTATATGTTACTGAGTCAGTTGCTGGAGAAGACACAGCTGTAGGTTCCCCTCACAGATTTCCCCGATTAAATCTGTGACCTAAAAAAATGAGGGCTTATAAAGCATGTTAACTGTTTGTAAGTATAGATAGACAACTCCCTGTTTGTCACAGGATTGGAAGGAAGAAATCTCATTGTCTTGTGATAACAAATTTTTGACAATAAATTCCTGAATTTACACAGTTCAAACTTGATGGAGAATGCTGGTTTATCTTAAAATTGTAAGATCATTTTCCTCAACCACTGATGCCAGAAAGAATTAAAAGAGCCATAGTCTGAATGCTTTAGTGCAACTTCTGGTACTAAAGTAAGGTTTGGTATTTTTCTGGATTTCACAGACTTTCTGTAGAGATTCCCCAGACTGCTTGGATTTTAGCTAACTTCAAAAAATATTTAAAGCATATTTTGTACTTTTATAACCATATTCTATTCAGATATTTCTTTCTTCGTGTATGAGAGATATAGGCAACATGAGACTACAGAACAAAAGGTTATCAAGTGTACAAAGTAAAAGTATTTATGTAATCTCTTTTAATACCATACCAAATTATGTGACTGTGCATTTAATAGTATCAACACATAATTATTTAGTTACAAGTAAGCTTATGTTAGAGGTTCTGCAATGGACAGCAACCTTAATGTAGTTTACTGTATGCATTTAAGGACTGTCCCAAAGAAAACTAAAAGGGCTAATTTAGGTATGTTCTCACCTTTTAAAATTCCAGCTTTGATCCTTGAAACTGTCGTCTTTGCAGGACTAGAGCCTCATACTGTTTCCCAATGCTTGGCTACATTAAAGAGATACAAGGCCAAACTCTTAGTACATCATTTTCCTGACACTTAAACTACAGAACAGTCATATTGGCCTATTAAGAATAGATTTAATACCTGTGTCCTTCAATCTTTGCTAAAGCGATGGTCTCAGATCCAGAATGCTTTGCTGAAGTCATGGTTTTGTGGCCAAAAAAAAAAAAGCGAAGAAAGGAAATGTGTGTATCTGAAACTGCTGTATCACCCCAGAAAGCCTCTGTCTGTCTGTCAGTGAGCAGCGGCGGCTGTAACAAGATCTTCTGAGCGACAAAGTTCGACTCTGAGGCTGAGGTTCACCCATGAGCGCTCAGGAGCAAGAGGCACGTCTAACTTCACCTCATAACACTGGCTCCCTCACGGCGCGGGCCCCGCCCCCATGGCAGCGGCCG